TTCACTATGAGCTATTATAAGATCTTGAATATATTCCCTTGTGCTATACAGTATAAACTTGTTTAAGATAGACTTTCTTGTTAAATACTTCTGGTAGATGAAAAAATCCTAAGTTTAGTTTGGCCCTTCTGAGGGACTTGCCTGTTGATACCTGGAAATTTCACTGTTTTTTTTTAGGTCATTTATACATTAAAAATACTTCTGTAATGTTTGATTCAAAATTTGCAATTCTCTAAAAGCTTCAAAAATGGAAGAATTTGGTACTCCATTCCTTGACTGCTTTGAATGAAGACTTCTAACTGATTTTGAACAATTAAAGAAAGTTTTCAGGGCTCATTTACAAAGGAGTTTAATCCCTTTGTAAGATACTTAAGTAATTCTTCAAAGACACAAGCAATTTTAAAAATCACATTGATAGTGGGTAGCTAAAAGAAAGCCATGTATAGTCTTGTACTGAAGGATCTTTTTTGTATTCAGTACAATCTTCACAAAGTTTTCATAGTTCAATTAATCTAAATGTAGATTTTAAAATATTTGTAAAATTTGACAACTATACTTTCTAATTTTATCCATAAACTATTACTTCTTTGGTAACAGGAGTTATATGTGCACCAAACCAATTGCAAATACGTCTACTCCATAGGACTATCAGAACAGTGTTTTTACCTTGACATTTTGCCGCACCAAAATTTATATTTGTATTATTACCCCCCAAAAGTTTTATCAGGCAAACTGAGGCATGTGGTCATTTTGCTTCGGTGTTCTTAAGTATTAGTTATTAATATTCCTTTAAAAAGGTCTTTTAGCTTATCGTGGATGTATCTTCTTCCATGTGAACTTTAAATTATTTTCTCTAGTTCTAAAACAAATAGTTCTTCATTCTCCATTCTTTCCCCACAAAATCTTAGGGATTCTAATTAGAATTGTATTAAATTTATATGTTAATATGAAATGCTGATCTTTTTGTGGTGGTGTTTTTCCATCTGGGAACATGACATGTGAGTCAATGTTTTTAGGTCTTATTTTATGTCCTTTGGTAATTATGAAAATATTTTATACTTTTCTAAATAAGTTACATACTTTCCTCCTAAATTTAATCTTAGGAATCATGGCAGAAACTGTTAATTGTATACCCCATTACTTTCTATTTTCCTCAGCAACAGAGCCCTAGTTTTTATCTAGACATGTTGCTCCTAGATTAAATGACTGCTTTTCCAGTCTTCCTTATAGCTAGATGTAGCCATGTGATTAAGTGCTGTCTAATGACATATAAGTGGAAGTGTTACTTCTGGGACATCTCTACATGTGTACACTGTTTTTCCTCTTATTATGCTGCCTGTAGGAATTCTAGTTTTCATCTGTGAGAAAAGTGCTCCATAAATCTGCCCTTAAATTGCTGAATATTAAACCACATGTGCCTTACAGAGGTTGTATACCAGCTCTAGCATAAAGGCTATTCTAAACCCACCCTAACTTTTTTCCAGAAAGAAGTCTGGCACTTTAAAGGGGTAAAACAAATCCTAGTGCTCACAGTGTTAAACATTCAGTCAGAAATTTTCAGACATGGAAAGAACCAGAAAATTGTGGACTCATAACCAGGAGAAAAATCAACCAGCAGAAACAGATCTAGAAAATGATAGATGATGAAATTAGCAGATTGGGACTTCGGAACTGTTATTAAAAGTATGTGAAAGGATTTAAAGGAAACTATCAGCATAACAAGGGGAAAATGAGGAATTAAAAAAACCAAATGGAACTTCTAGAGATAAAAATAATATCTAAAAAACATGGTGTGGCTGTAACAGCATTAATATTCTACAGAAGAAATGATCAGTGAATTTAAAGACAGCAATAGAAACTAAAGCACATAGACCCTGTCCCCCACCCCAAAAAATGAGAAAGATATGAACAGAGT